AACAAGACTGTTTACTGAGTTGTGCCAAGCCACTTGCACTTGGACTTGGATCAGGACTTGTGGCATACAAAAGGCATGACATGTTTTTCACTTCCAGAAGGAAGAAAGAAAAATTACTGTAAGATTACTATAAGAAATTACTAAAAAAGATTATTTTTTCCCCAGACTTCCTGGTATCTTAACTAAGTCAGTACTTTGATTGAAATCACCCTAAGATTCCCAGAGTTTTAACAACTACTTCATTACAATACACATTTTAGAAGTGTGTAGAGGTACACGTGTGTCCATTACATTTAGAAAGTGCCAAAGTATTTGTTTTTAAAACCAGAGCGCACAAAGAGTTCTTCATGCAGCAAGATCCCAGCCAACTAAACTAACAGGAACATTTAATTTGCTATTTGAATGCTCTGATTTAAAAAAATCTTTCCAGCTGACATAACAGCGAATTAAGAAACATGTGATAGTAAGATCTGAAAATATTACACTGGATGTAATCATAACTGAGAGCAAAGTTACATTAGATTAGAAATAAAGCTGATTTGTGGTTTTCTCCACAGAAAGGCAGAACATTCCAGCACTACCAATGGAAGTGCTGCAGTTGGCTGCAGCCTGGCAGCCTTTGTAAGGCAATCTGTGTTTTAGCAGCACAGCACACCCAGCATCATACTTACTGCGGTGCCGGCTGCCGCAGGACACGGGGTGCCACGACCCTCCTTACCAACACCCTGACTTTGTTCTTCCGGCCCACGCGTGACAAGAATCCTGAAGTGCTGCTGCCTCATGTTTTGATCAGGTCTGATTTTAAACAAGCATCCCTGCCCTTGAGGCATCCGCTCTACTGAATTGCTTCTAGGTATTTCTGCCCTGTTCCTGCTGTTTCCAGGCAGCTCCAAATTCAGCCCATCACCTGTGGGGTTAATTCCTTCTTCTGGTGGCTGGACAGGGTAGGAAGTACTCCTTTCCAGCCGTATCCGAGGGTACCTGACCAATCTGTCCCCTTTTGTTCCGGTAAAGCCAAAGTTACCTCCACCTCCTGTGCCCGTACTGCTTGCCTGTGGCTGCTGTAACTGGAGAACAAAGAACTTTTTCCCTGAATTTGCTGACACATCTGGCACATGCTGCAAGGACCAGCGCCGGGGTTCAGAGGTGGGAGCACTATTTGGAGCCTCAGGACCAAAGGGAAGTAGAGTAACTTGAGGCACCTCAGCACTTGAGGCCCGATGCTGAATCCTCACACCGCTTATGTTTAAACCTGAAGCCGCTTCACTCGCTTCTTCTCGTTGGGCAGTCGGCAGAGCCTCCTCGCTCTGGGGATTAGCACTACAAAACATTCTACGGTTACAGCAAACACTTCCATCTGTCTGCTGCCCTAACTCTTCCAGCAGCCTGGGCGAAGAACTTTCAGCAGTCACCTGTGGAGCGCTCGGAGAAGAGCGCTTTTCAGCGGGGGATGCGTAGTGCTCCCTGAAGTCTGAGAATTTCCAGGGGAGCATCTCCTCCGGAGAGTCTGGGGCCGCGCACTCGTCGGCGCAGCCGTCGGCAGCCTTGCGCTGCAGCGAGATCTGCATGGACGAGCTCCTGGTGGGGCGCGCGTCGACGCCATTCAGCAGCTGCGGGATAAACATGGATGTGCTCCTCTTCAAGGAACCCGCTTCGTGCAATCCTCCATCGCCGCCGTCCTCCGCTCCGTGCCGCGAGAACGCGTGAGGGCTGCTTCTTCTTGGCAAGGTGTGGAATGCCATGAAAAAGTCATCTTCTCTCTCCCGGGCGAGGATCTCCGATTCGGGGGCTGTGTTGCTTCTCCCAGAGCCAAAATGAAACCGCAGCCGATGGGCCATGGTTTTACAGAGAGGAGAAAAGGAGAGGGAGAACAGCAACAATTCAGGCACTGCCAGAAGTTAAAAACCAAAGACATAAACTCCGAGAAAAAGTGTCCCATCTGCCAAATGGTTAGCACTGCAGCCCTGGGAGCGACAGATAGCAGAAATAGCCCAAGTGGCAAGCGGCATTCCAGGCATGATTGGGCAGGAGCAGTCAGCGCTCCTACACACACGGTGACATAGGGTAGGGTGGTGGGAGTCACGTGGCCTGGTTCCCCCTCTCCAATGTAAGTGTGTGTGAGGAGTTTGTTTTTTCCTTTTTTTTTTTTTTTTGTAATGCCAGCAAGAGCCTGAAACAGCACCTTCCCAGCTGCTCCTTTTCCATCAGGGAGGAGCGGCCCCAGCGGGAAAGCTCTCGCAGCTGACAGAGGCAGCGAATACACTCAGCACTGCTATAAATCTAAACCACATCAGATTCACAGGGCAGACTTGGAGAAAGCACTTGCAGAAAAATGTAACTACAACAAAACACTTCCATTTTGTGTTAAAAGTTTAAGTCAACACCACATGCAAATGAGGAAAATTCTTTCAAGCATAACACTTTGGTGTGTTACCGCTCTGGGCTGTCATGGCAGGACAGGAATAAATACAACATGGTTATGCTTTCCATTTTAACCATGCTCATAACACAACTAAGCAAAAAACTTTTGCCTTTAAAAATCCGCAACAGCAATATAACCTGCAGTTCTCTTTGAGCAACTACAAATTAAAAACAAAGCAATCATACATATGGCAAAGACCTCTCATACAGTAAAACCAGCAGAAACAAGCAGGAGAGCAAGACAGAAAGCTCCTTTTCCAGATTTACCAGGCAGTACAGGTGAGGGAAAAGCAGAGCTGGGTGTTGCATGTCCGTTTGTACCGATTTGTCTCAGACCCTGCACAGAACTGCCTGCTCCTGGCTGGCCTCCAGCGAGGGAGTCAGCAATGCCACCACACGTGGCACTGCCAGCATGGAGTACAGTTACACTCTGAGAGCCAGAAGAGCTCAGGAGGACAGGCAGACAGGATACACCAGAACGTGAAGCAACCCCCCTAAATCAGCTCTGCTACAACAAAGATACTCAGTGCCCTGGGGGCACTCACACGTGAAGGGACACTTCTCAGCACATACCAGATAAGAAACTCCGGTTAAGCGCAGCTCCATCTCAAGGCCTGGACAGCTGTTCCCTGCGAGAACTGGAAAGCCTAAATCTTGTCAACAGCTCTGAAAACCTGTATGTGGCAGGTCAGTCCTCTGCCATCTGAACTCTGCTTGCAAGCAGCTTGCTTTCAAAAGCCAGAAAATTACCAATCCCAAGAGCAATGGCAGCTCAAACTGATCAAACTGCCAGCAGCCAGCACAATCCCACAATTTTTTTATATGGATTATGAGACGCAACAAAAATGTGAACAGCTTCCACACAGCAATGGTCTGGAGATTGCCTTGTAGAACTAGCACAGGTGCTGGTACTACCTTATTTTTCAGCTAAAACTTGTTACTCAATAACACAGTCTTTGCATTCAAAATTAGGCTCCATCACATTTACTCTGTTGAGATTGGGAATAGAAAGGCAAAGACACCTGCAGAGACAGAGTGTGCTTTGGTAATTTGGGAAGAAGAAGGAACAAAGTCATTCCAACAAAAGCCATTTAAGTATTGACAGTAAGTATATGAGAGTAAAGCCAAAATAATCAGTTCAGTGTCTTCTCACTCTGTAAACACAACCTGATGGAAACCTGCTATTCCAAACCCCCCAAAGCAGTCACCTTGCCATAGACCTCCTGCAAGGAAAGCCATGGCTCCTAACCCCAGTGCTGCCTTGGCCAGAAGGTTCCAAACCAAGGACAGACTGACTTTGGAGGCAGGACCAGAAGGAGAGTACACACAAATTGGTTCAACAATAAAAAGTGCTGAAACTGCCAAGGAAAGGCCAGTACTGCAAACCCAAACTCAAAAATCCAAACCAGCATGTCTGAAATGAGTATCCCAAACCTGTCATTTTCCAGCTGTCACTGCATACAAGGTTTTTCTCTAACCCACCTCCCCGCTCCTGTGGCACCTTTGCATTCCAATGGCACATGGCAGTTTGAGTAGCACAAGTGGTCATTACGATCATTATATACAAATAAATATGCTCCTGGTCAGCCACTGTAGAGGCACAGTGCCACCAGTTCACCAGTTTACTTCCTCCTGAGGAAAGATCCAGTCATTCAGCTGCCAAGTCCTCTTTCTCCCCAGAACACAGCTTGTGTGGTTTCTTTTGCTCTTTATTTATTAGGAAGATAGAAGGAAAGAACCTATTCGTTGAAGCCAAATGCTTTTACACTGTCTTTTTTTAATGAAAGTATCTTTGCAACTCTGATCCTAATCTTCAGAAAGTAAACAAGTTTAGTAAAGGTTGTATTGCCCCCAGCCCAGAAAATGTTAATTCCTGATCTCATGAACAGAGATGGTGTTACAGTGTTCAAAAGGCAGACCCCCAAGAGCCATCCACCAGTGTGCCACTGCACTGGCACCTTTAACCCCGGATGTACAGAGGGACACTGCCACTTTTCCCATGGATCAGAACTGTAACAGAAGCTATAACAGCAGCAGTCAGATGGTGAAAGCCTCCTCCAGAAAAGCTACTGCATCAGCCAAACACAGTGTAAGACAAAACCCACTAACAACATGTGAGCGTTGTGAAGCAGAGATGAAACCCAAGGGAGCATCATCCTGCCATGACCTCAAACCTTCACACATGCATTGTGCAGCTCTGAAAGCTGATGCATCTCCCCAAGCAGGATGCAGAAACATTAAAGGACTGGAAAGGGACATGAACATGATAAAGCTGCTGCTTTATCAGCAACTAAAAGGGTCAGGACTTTGGTTTGAAGTGGAAAGGCCTGCAGAAGGACAGACTGAGGGTTTTGCTGTCAGAGGGCTGGGTGAGGATGACCATTTTGGTCTGACCCAGAAGGGCACTACTTTAGTGCCCTTTTAGTCCCAGCTCAAATGGTTTTTACACCTCTATTTGTGTTTCTTGGCACACTCACTGAAACAACTGTCTGAAGACACCTCTAGGCTGTGTTGTGTTTCTATCAGCTGTGGCACACAGAGCCTGTGATTAGTGTAACACAACTGAGACAAGTACTCACCAGTCTGTTTTCATCAAACACCTCAAACAGAAGCCGATGGTTGGTTGGGTTTACCTGTGAGAAAATCCAAATGTCACTGCAAGTTCAGGAGCTGGACAGTAACAATCTGTGTACTAGATCAGGCAGCAATCAAACCAAGGTAATTAGGACAGGACTAACAGGTCTGATGTAAATCTTTACTCGAATTGGAGCAGAACCTTACTGCAACTGGGAAGAGCCTGGCAGTTGATATGAAAGCTTTTATTTGCTGTGCTCAGTTACTGCATTTCCCTGGCAGAGGAGCCCAGTCCCAGGACAGACTATCAGGGCTCCCTGACTGACTGATTTACGAGGAGCAAGAGTTTTGCTGCATTTCCTTCAGAACTGCATATTCAGCTATGTTTCTAACTGTCCATTGCTCACCATCTCTAGCCCATTTAGCAAGCACCCTTGGAACATCCAGCAGAAATCTCCCCAACACATAAAACAGCAAATATACCTCCAGAAAACTATTTACTTAAACTGAAGCAGAAAGACTGCCAACATTTAAAAGGACAAAATCAAACATAAAAAGAAACCTGTCAGAGAGACAAAACAGCTGCTATTAAACGACAACAAGTTTTATAATGTTTAATCCAGTTGCTCTATTTTTTCAGAAAATCTTTGCAAGCTTGGTTACTATGACCAGCATGTTTAATTAAGAAAATTTAGAAATAATATACCACAATTCTGTGGGCTGGAGATGGACTTCTCAGTTTTGAGAAAATCAGAGAACTGTGACACACATAAAAGGGTCTCAATTACTTTACAGGTCCCATTATTTCTGAGGACATTCAAGATGTTTTAACAGAGCATCTGTGAACTATACCAGAGGTTTTGCAGCAGTGTTGTGCATTCCCTTTTCCTGAGATTTTAGATCTGCATTACTCAGAAAAGCTGTTTGGTGCACATGTCCCAGAAGCATTCCCATGGCACATTCCACTGGTGGCACTGCTGTCCCAGAGCTCCCCATCCTGGCAGCAGCTCCCCACATCCACAGAACTCCCGGCCAAACAATCCCCCACATCACCCCTCAGGCACTGCTGGAGATTAATGCCTGAAACCCCCTGAAATTCTGCCTGACCTGCTTCTGCGGGAGCTACAGCTGCACTAAAAGTCAAAAGCCAACTGTTATTTGGAAAAATATTGTCTGCAACTGAGTAGCAAAATTACTGCCCTTCACAATTATATAATTGCAGGTTGGGAAACAGTTTCCAAGGAACCCGAGGCCAATTCCTGCTGAGCATTCCATCCCCTCAGAAACACAACAGCAAGTACATCAGGGCAAGCAGGTCTTTGGAGTAAACATATAAACAAATACACAATAAGATCAGCTGTACAATCTATTTGATAAACAAAGAGAAAACAAGATTAGCTGTGCATGTTCTAATAATGACTGCAAATAAAGAGAAACTTACTCTGAAGTAAAACTCTTCATTCCATTTAGGGTTCAGTGTCTGTAAAAGAAATAACAATATTTACATCAAATGTTTATATTTTCTGGTGTGAATTATAAAAACATACATACAAGTGACAGTTTTCTAGGGAAATAAAAGAGAAAGAAAAGCATGTAATAAAAGAAATTGAAAAATATACTGCCAACTAGAAATTCTCTATTGAGTTAACCAAATGTGGGAGGATATTTGACTCAGATGATCCTAAAATAGACATTAAATAAAAATAGAATTTGATGATTAAAAGACAAATCATTGAGAACCTATAGAAATAAAATCTGAAGACATTTCATTCTTGAGATTCATTTAAACCCAGATGAATTTTTTAAACACAAAGGTAACTTAAGGGCTACAAGAATATGCTCAGATTTATACTGTGAAATTAACAGAAAAATTTTTTAAAAAACCAAAAAAAAACCCAAAACCAAAACATAACAAAAAAGGTTATTCCTTGGACTAGGTAAGATATTCTTCCAATGTCCTCCCATCCCAAGGATTTTCATTTTAACAACCTGACTAAAATGCACAGAATGAACGTGCATATAGATTGCCAGCTGAAGTGAGCTCAAGCATGACATAATAAATTTACAAAAAGAGATGAGAACTACAAACAGTAATTTGGGCAATTCAAGCTTGGGTAAGTATAAAAACAATTGGACAATATGTCCAATGTTTTTGTGCTCATGCCAAATCATTCCCTCATGCTCTCACACAGCAGAGATTTATGGGCAGAGCTGACAGGAAAAATTGGCTTTACACCCACGACAATTCTGTTCTAGCAGAGAAGGGGAATCTTGGCTGTTTATCTTACTCCTTGCTATAGATCCAAGAGATTCCTCATATGCAGGGCATGAGGGCTGATTATACTGCATCTCTCAACAAACTGGGAATACAGGAGCTCATGGCAGAGCAGGAAACACTCCTTGAAAGAAAAGACCACTGGAAAGGGCAGGTGAATTAATGACAGGAAGAGCAGGGATGGGCCTGTGGGCGCAGAGAAACTTTCAGCTGTTTTCCCTGAAGGAGCACAATGTATTCAGTGAAACATAAATTAAAATGAAGCAGTAAGGAAAACAATGTTACATTTTAACTACTTATATTTATCAAGTGCTACTGCTGTTGCAAGAGAGGGTACATACAATTTACCCAACAAAGCACTGGCTTAACCTGGGTTTTGAGGGCACTACTGCCCATTGATAATCCATTCATTCTGACAGCTGCTTAACCACAGAGTTCAGGCAAATCTGATGGACAAGGCAGCAGAGTCTTTGGTAAACGCCTGGCAACTCACAGAAATCTGTCCCACCTTTACAGGCCCCACTCTTAGTGGGCTGAGTCAGAAAGTGCAAACTTATCTTAGTGCCAGCACAGGAGAAGGAACTGCAGGAATGGCTCCATACAGGACATGAGCAGGGAAACAATAACAAAAACTCAACCTCAAGAAGAGCCACATCCTAAAAAGGGCAAGCGCTGCACACATAAAGGACTGCCAGCAGTCAAGCTGAGCTAGACCTTCCTCGGGTAGTCAAAAAAGGGTTTTCATTCAATCCTGCACAGAAAAGGACAACATGGAGAGAAATGATGCTCCTGAACACCAGAGCTCAATGGGGAGACTGGGCATTCTCAGAGATGGAGATATTTTTAATATTCCATATGGGAAAGGTAGAAGTCTTTGGAGCTCAGCACAGTCAAGGTGAAGAAATTGAAGAAACTGGATAATCTTCATCTGAACTTTTAAATTCCAGCAGGTATCTAAAGAACACACTGACCACATTACAGGAGCAAAGCCAGCAAACAGCATATACAGTTTTGTCTGCTTCAGAGAGAACCTTTTCAGCAGGGCATTCCAAACACAGCTCCAAAACGAAGCACAGAGCATTAATCAAACCTTACAGCTGTATTAACTATGGAGGGAGATAAACTGAAACAAAAAGCCTCAGAAATTTAACCTGGGTAGATCATGCCACATGAAGCTGATATTCTTCTGGTAACTTTATTTTTTCAGAGTAAGGAAACAATGTGCATTTAACCCCTTTGGCTGTAATGAAGCACTTCCAGAAGCACAGTCCAGCTGTGCAGTAGGATACAGGACATGGAAAAGGAGAACAAAAAGGGGACACTGCAGTTCCTTCTGCTTCTCCAAAAGCACTCCTGCAAGGCAGTGCTGCACAAAGTTACCCATTCAACTGAGGAACACAAAAACAAGGAGAAAAATGAGAAAGTTGTGAAGGGTTAGACACAGTTACAGAGCTGAAGGAGGTAACTGCCATGCAGTCATTCCTCAGATCGACTGTACTTGGTTGTTTTAAATTTCCACCTTAGGAAAATACTTTGAAAATGGAAATTTTGAACAGAATGATCACTTTTGTTGGAAGTCAGATAAATGATAATTAAAACAGCATTTCTCAGCCCTTTATTTCAGCCATGTCTTCCAATGAAATATGAATTTGCAAAAAGAATCTGTCAATGATGCAGCCAAGCTTTGGGGAACAATATGCAACATCAGGCTCAGTCTCCAGGCCAGACAACACTGAGATGCAGGCACTTGTTCTCAGAGTTTGCTTAGGAGACAAGCACATTATCCAGCTGCTAGACATGAATGTAATGATTTTAATTAGTGCTGCATTATGTTATACAATTGTGTTCCAGTGTTCTTAATCCTTCCGAAGCCATGGAATTAGAAAGAGTATACACATACCTTTTTGATAGTTTTTGTCTGCACAAGAGCAAGTTCTCTGTTCTCATCTGCTACATACAAGGAAAGTTTCACATACGGGTCACTGTAAAAGAAGACATCAGATTTAATGGCCTGCAATTGTACAGCAAAGAGCATTGCAGAAGGAATTTTTCATTTAACTGGGTAACAACAGCACCTCCAAACACTCCTAGTGGAATTGTCTTCAGTGAAAGCTCAGAACTCTGGTAAGCTACTGACACATTGAAAATGAGTGTTTGAATGTAAAACCCTGCCCATAGCAGCAGAGATCATTCCCTGCAGCTCTGTCCCTGCTCCCACACAGCTCCTGCCCACAGGCATGCCCGTAGCACTCCATTAAAACCAGGCAGGGAAAATGGGAGCCTGGAAGAGACTGGCTGCAGCTAACCCCTGGAGCTGACACAAGTGCAACAGGAAGTATTTGGAAGCAGTGGTTGTAATTGTTTTGAACCATCAAACCGAGCTGCACAGCATCAGCAGCAATTCAGACAGGGCAGAGAGCAACCTGCTGCAGTAGAAGCTGTTCCTGCCCACAGCAGAGGGTGGAACTGGATGGCCCATAAGGCCCTCCCAACACAAACCATTCCATGGTTCTGTGCTCTAGAAGAGCATCCTGTAAGAACAGATGAACCTCACACAGGTACAACGTCAGGAGGTGGAACCAGAGCAGAGCCTCTGCTTGAAGGGGGGAAATGGGTGCCTGAGTAAAACCAGGACCCTGACCTGCTCTGGTGCTTCCCTCTCAATGCTGCAGCACACTCTGCTGGGTGGTGACCCAAGGTTTCTTGAAAGCATCAATGAGAGACACTGACAGTACCACCAGACACTCAGATTTACCAACCAAGTCACTGAAATGCTGATACTTTTTGAAGTTAAGGAACTATTTTGTGACAGTATCACTACAGAACAAGCAGCGCTTGCATGTTCATTATACTGGATGTTCCATGTATTGAATACAAAATGCCACAAAGGTGGCAACAAGAATAAACAAGACATCTTGTGGGATTGATTATTCCCATCAGTAGATGCACATAAATGCATCTACCTAATCTGCAATTAAGTTGAGCATTAAGCAGCAATGTTTAGAAGACAGCAAAGCATCATTGTAATTATAAAGATATGCTGGTGCTGCTTTGAATTGCCTCATGTACCATACTAATATTGACAGGTATCCTCCCAGATTTGGGTTATCAATCCATACTTAGACAATGCTCTTTTCAGGAACCCTTAGAAATACTGCAATTTTTTAGTGCTAAAATACCCTGGAAGAATCTTCTGCCTACAGAAAATGAAAACTGTGGCACAGTGGTAAAGATTATTTTTAAAATCTATTTCTATTTTAAAAAACTAGAGAATAATTAAGTTTATTACAAATTTCAGTAAGGAAATTTTGCTTTTACTGAACAGACTATTGACATCTCTGCCTGCTCTAAAAGCGGGACAGAGTGAGTCAGACTGAGCTGAGCAGCCAAGCTCTTGGTCCCGAAGTTGAAGTTGGAGTTTACTCAAAGGACTGGATATTTGAGACTGTTTACTTACATGCATTTGTTTACTCAAAGCGATCTGGAGAGCAAGGAAAGCTGACACTGCCCCAGCTGGAAGTGTCTCACACAGCCCTGGGCTGCCCAACCCCAGCGGCAGCCCAGCTCTGCACGGAGCTTGCACGGGAACGCAGCACAGAAGGGGATTTCAAAGGGCATGCTGGAAAAGCTTAGGAGTCAAAGTGACACTGGATGAGCAGAACGAAGCCCTTCCACTCACACAGATAACATCATGTATCTGACATATGGAACTAACAGTTCTGCACCTTGCTAGGAAAGCTCACTGCAGAGGTCACTTGGAGGAAAAGTACTGGGTTTGTCTGGGGAAGAGGATCAAGGATTCAATGTGGAAATGTCGCAAAACAGAAAACTACAAGTAGAAAACTTTCTCTACATCAATTTTTACACTAGTACCAGTGTAAGATGGCTAAAATGCCATCTTAATGAAACCTGCGGCACAACAAATTGGCAGTCATGGACTGCTAGGAATCTGTTAATGTAGGAAATGTCCAAGTGGAATCTACACGGTGTTCTGGTAGAATCACTGTAACACCAGAAAATGGACACAGGAAATGAACTGCAAGCCTGGAGCCTGGGGACATTACAGATGGCCAGCACATCCCCAGAGTTCCACTGGCAGCACTCAAACAGGGCACCAACACAGGGGCACGACAGACTGACAGAGAGCTGCCCAATGCAGCACAAGGGGGGACCCAAGGGAAGCCACAGTGATAACAAACCTACGCGTAGGGCAACAAAGAGAAATTTCAAAGCACCAAGTCGTGTTTAAAAGAGAAATGAGCCCAGTCACCATCATACCAGTGACTGGAGATGGAGAGGAGTTGATTTGTGGACACCTATCTAAAATGCTCCTCGCTACAAAATCAAAAATTATTAAAAGCACCAAATCTCATCTATCCAAACATGATTGGCCAAAACCTAAAGAGAACATCAGCACCTGCCAAGATCAGGAGAACCTTGAAACTGGTAAGAGTTCTCTAGAGAATAAAAGGGAATCCTAAGAAAATGATGCTAATAATCAAAGTTATATTAATCATAATCACAACTTAGTACAAAGAGAGTTTTGCAGAACAGCCATCAAAACAATCTGAGGGTTTAAGAAATCCTTTTCCTGACCTCAGGAATCCCTCAGACATCCAGAATTAGCTATTTGCCATGGTTTTGTCAACTTGCAGTATCTGGCATTTTCTTAAAGCTCATGCAACTGTAGATATATAATTATCATCTTTCATTTGAATCTCAGCATGAAAAGGCACGCTTCCAGCTCTTCTTCTGGAGGACAATAAAAGCACTGATGACTTAAAAACTCCAGCAAAAGATCTCAAGGAAGATCAGCCTCCTTTAAAAATCACATTACTTTAGAGCAGTGTGAAACTGGGGCCAATGAACAGTGTCCCATTTGTTCACTTGAGTCTGGAATTGCATTTGCTCTATACTTTTGAAACAGTTTTGAAAGCAAGTCTCAAACTAGCTTCTGCCAGTGACATGATGTATTATTTACTTATTTTAAGCTCTAAAAGAAGGGGGTGGAGAGCACAGGCACATGTAAAAGAACAATGGAACTACCAAGGCCTACATGGCTCTATTTTTATTTTAAAAGCTGAAACCGCCTCCCCACATATAAAATTTAGTAACACTTGTTATGCAAGTGCGTGAATGCCAGGCTTGTCACATGCAGGCAAACTTTGCATTTCAAAATAGCCCGACTAGTTTCCTTTGGAACAGTCTTGCACAAGATAATTTTGCTTCTGTAAGAAATACAGAACCATTCCCTTTATGCTACCCCTTTTCTGCCTCACATATCTGAAAGAATTGATCAGCAGCTCCTGCAATTCTGGCTGCAGAAATACCAGCACACTCCAACATGAAGGCAGAGAAGCCTCTTTCTCAAAGCCACATCCCAATCAATTCTTTCCCTGGTCTTGAGGAGACTGCTATTTGGCTATCAGTTAATCTTCATCCATCCCCTTTTCCCACCCCCTCACTCCATCCAGCCTAGCTGCACTCTCCTCAGTGCAGGTACACATAGAACAACACCCTTACTGAGCCCTTAAGGCATGTGCCTCCTCGTACTCCTAAGTCAGAGAAGTTGAATGTTTCAAAAACCCCCAAAATGAGCACCTTCAGATCTCTGCCAAGAAGAGCAGAAGACCTCAGGCCACCTCCTCCCCACGGGACTGGATGGCTGAGGGCTCTGGGCTTGCTGCTTTGGGGATCCCTCCACCTGTGGGCAGGTGTGGAGGCAGATGTGCCCAGTACTCAGCGCTGCAGGGACTGACCTGCTGCACACGGACACGCTGCTAAACCTGCAGACTGGGGGCTGTACAGGGGAAATGCGCTTTTACACACACCATGCCTTCGAGAACACCAAACTCTTACAAACTCAGATCAGTGACATACACTGTCTTCAAAAACATCCATCTCAAGGAGTCTCCACAAAATTATGGGAGCCCTTGGATAGCAGTTAACATCAGAGCTGAAATGCAGGTTATGCTTGGCAAAAGGAAATCCTGTGAACCTGGAAATGTTCTTCAGAATCATTTAATCATACTTAGAGAAACTCTGGCTGTGCATGCACTTAGTGGAGCTTTAAAAACTCCAAAATTTTTTTAAACTCCAATGTTTTGCTTAGTCACTTTTAGATCCAAAGAGATAAGGATCTATCGTGACTAAGCAAATTCCCAAAACACGCATCTTCAAAGAAGATTAGAATTATAATGAGACACTTCTAGCCAAGCTTTATGGAGAGCAGTAAAAACAATGTTCTAAGGCAGAGCCTCTTACAGTCGCTGTCATTTTATTCCAATAACCATTCCCCCGGTGACCTTCCCCATCCTGCACAGTAAGGAGAAGCACAATAAGAATACACAGCAATTAACTACAAGGAATACTCCAGAGCACACTGGCTGTGTTTGCCCCCTGGTTTTAGTTTAGCACGAGCCTTCCGGGTTTCATCTTTCTGCCTGTACTGAGTAACATCCATTAAGAGTTTTTCTCAAACAGAAGGAAGATTTTGACCTCACTGCCATACAAGTCTCCTGTCCTGTGACACAAAGTGTCCAATCACACAAGGAAAAAGGAACATCAACTTCTGAAAAGAAAACAAAACCTTACCTTATCCTCCACCGCAAAGTCAAACTTGCAATCCATTGTGCCTAAGCATCCCAAAATCTCATTCTTCCATACCAAATCCCAGAGTCATTTTACAGACCTCCCATTTCCCTTCTAGTGTTTTATTTTGCAAAGAAAGGCTCACACTTCTGACTCTACAAGAAATGTAGCAAGGCTTTAGCAAAGAGCTGCTAGAGATAATGACTCACATCACAGACAGCTGCGAAGAAGTGCCTGTGGGTGAAAAAAGGAGTTAAAAATTATACCTCAAACCCCACCTCCAGTGTCTCCACCTTCCTTTACCATGTTATGTTCTAATAAGGAGTAACGAGATGGATTCCTTTTGTACTCCTGCTCTCTTGGAAGTCTCCCAGAGCATAAAGAATATTTTAATCTTCCAAAACAGATGGAAGTGTAAATATGGGGTTTTTTCCTCCCTGAGGCCATTTTTTTTTGCAAAGGTTAAATGAATGCTCTAACAGAATATGCATACATCAGCCCCTGGAGCTGAGGGACTGATGTATGCATAGATCTTCCTATGCCATTTCACACTCCCAAAATACCTTAACAAGTTCCAAAATCCAGCGGGGGTGGAGAAGGAGAGAGAGAACTCCATGACACCTGGCTTTTGGAAGGGAAAAGCTCAGCACAGTAGTTCTGTCTTAAATATTTCAGACCAAAATATTTTCCTTAGATGATTTTATTGATATGCCCCTTTTTTCTTTTAAAGATACCAGATTCAGGTAATCTCACAGCTCACAGTAGACAGCAGGCAGGTGGGAAAGCTGAGGAGCTGAATGCAGAAGCTTCCTTTCTTCAAGCAACAAGAAACATTTTATGTTTCTGTATTTGTACAATTTTTCCATTAAGCAACTATCTGATGAGAATTATTTTTCACTATGACATTATAACTGTCAGGAATTATTACCAAGTCCTCTTATTAAGTAGCAAGACCACATCCTCGAAAAAGCAGCATTTCTCCATTTAAAGCTCCTGAAATATATACCCAGCGCATCCTAAAGACCACAACATGTAGGAATGGGTAAAAAGCTGCTGATTTTGGTGGAAAACCTGACAGCCTAATTCGGTCGGAAGCCATCAGGTACCGGTTGGCGGCGGAAGCTGCGGAAACTCTCTGGCACCCTCTGCTGCCAGGCACAGCCCCGGGCCCGCCCGCCCCGATGTAAAGGATGCACAGATACCCTGCGCCCACACCGGGCAGCCCAATACTCATTTCACACACCTGTATGGGCATCAACATCACGGTTTCACGAACGAAACTATCGACTATCCAGCACACTTCTGCTCTGCACTCAGCAGTGACTGCATCTCAGCATTGCCCCCGGCTGCTCCCTGCACCCCACGGCTTTCATGGGAGCACACTTCATTCCCAGGAAAAGCATGAGCCATGTGTGGTTGCTGCTCTCTTTCCCTCCCCACACTGGTAATAACATTTCATTTCCTCTACACTGGACAAACTTCCACTGCAAATCAGCTAGGAAAAGGAAAAGCAACAACAGAGTATGAACTCTCCCCTACTTGAGCAGCTGCCCTCTAGTCAAGTGGCTCTGGGAATTCAGTCCCAGAGGCCCTCCAGCACCTCCCTCGGCCAGGACGCACGCAGCACTCTCCCTCTGGCACATGTGCAAGTGCTGAAGAGGCATTCAGGAGCCAGATTTTTTTTTTAATTGTTTGATTCATTTATGATAGCACCTCCCTTCAATGGATTTGTCTCTGCTCGTCAGGGGAGCCATCAGTACCAGAAGGGGAACAGGCTGTTAGCCAATCCAGTTCCAAGGCAGCACACATGCTGGAGAAGACAGCTCCAGATCCAGTTTTCCAACAGTTAAAACCAGACATACCATAACTCAAAGTGGACTAGAAAAGTGATAGCAGACTTAAAAGAATAAGTACAGGGTAAACATCTGCCATCTCTGTCACCTGCAAAGCCACAGCCACATGTGCTCTCCTCCCATCATGAACCACAGTGACAGAACACACGTGAATTAAAGAATTCAGCCACATTTCAAGCAGCCTTGCTCACAAAAGGAGTATACAGCATGACTTACAATCCTACCAGCAGCCTGGAGCCTGCCTTCCCCAGCTCCATCATGGGTCCTGGACACATGAAATCAAACCAGAAAAAGGGCTTTTCAGAAAAGAGCAGGTAAAAGCAATAAATCCAGAGGCAACCCATAACTAACTCCTATGCCATTAGAAGCACAGCTCCCTGACAATGAAAACATCTGCAATTTTAACTGAAAAGCACCTTACAGTTTCAACTTCCAAAGAGCCACATTTTCACTTACTTCACCATTTAGAAGGCAAAATACAGTAGCCAAGGCACCCCATCAGCTCTATCTTTACAGGATACACACAATCTGAGTTCAGCCACTACCTAGATTCTTGTATGAAATTTACTAAGACACTTCAATTAAGAAGTTGGAAGGAAATAAATGTCAAACATTCACACATGTAAGCTGACACTAAATTCACAAAATCCCAATCTGCAGTATCTACAGTTCACATCACAGACTTGTAATTTTACAGAGCCAAATATAAAGCAGGTTACAGACCCCCACTTACATCTACACTAACCAGCCCCTTGTGCCCACCTCCACTGCACCTATGCAGATGAAATGCCCCACATTTAACCATCACCTCAGGGTGCTCACACTTACTAATGCACTCTACATTCTAGTTGCTCTGTGTCATTGCAGCTGTAATTCCATAAATTTCTGAACTATTAGGGGAAACATAGCAAACTATGAGGTTGGAAAGACCCTCCAAGATCACTGAGTCCAGCACAAGTCCATGTCCCCAAGTGCTACATCTAACTGGCTTTTAAATCCCGCCAGGGATGGGGACTCCACCGCTGCCCTGGGCAGCCAAGCCAGAGCCAGGCAGCCCTTTTGGGAAGACATTTTCCCTAATGCCCAACCTAAACCTCCCCTGGCACAATCTGAGCCCTCTCCTCTTGTCCTGCCCTTTGTTCCCTGGAAGCAGAGCCTGACCCCCACCTGGCAGCACTTTCCTGTCAGGCTGCTGTGGAGAGCAAGGTGGTTTCCTCTGAGTGTCCTAAGATATCCTTACTTGCTATTAAAATGATTTCCTAAGTCAAAAAGAAGCCCAAGAAAATCAAACTCAAGAGCACTGAGATTTCTTTACTGTTACAATCCTCAGAAGAAAAGTACAAGTTTCTCCAGCGCTCCACACTGTAAGAGACTTTCCTTAGATTTAATCAAGAAGGAAATGCCTTTCAGATTCTGCAAGCCCACCGGCAGTGTTTTATAATGGTAAAGTTGATTAAAAGCGGGCACAACTTCCCACTGAGATGCAAAACACAATGTACACCTTGTAGCCAATGCTTCACAGTCAGGCAGGAACATAGTAACTGTTCTGCTCCAGTCTGAAGCCCTGCACAGCTCCACCACGCAGAGGCACAGCAGCTGCTGGGGCCACAGCTCTGCAATGCCAACGTGTTTTCAAATCACTGAACATTAACTCATTTCAAAGATTCAAACAAATTTAAAAACACATGTAGGGAATATGTTTTTAACTCTGTTTTTATGGAAATCCTACTGATCTTGAGACCAATTTCCTTAAAATATGTTAACGGCCGCATCAATAGGATTCAGTACTAACTAAACTTAGATTTAACTTCATGCATTTTGAAAGATAAAGGTTATGTTGCTTATGGTAAGCATCAAAAACTGTTCTTCAAAACAACACATTTGGAGAAAGAAAATAAAAAAGCTTTGGCATACCATATTCTGCACATAGCTACCAAAGGAACGCTTGTTGCAAATTTCACCCAAAATACTAAAGTTGATTAAACTTTTAATTGCTGCTTTCATGTAGTTTTAAGCTAGATAAACAAGCTAATGAACAATTTGTAAGCATCATTAAATAAATACAGGAAAACCTATAGGGAGGTTCATTCATACATTAAGAAATTAGTCATTTCAATAAAAGCTAAAATTGGCTACCACTAATTTCCAACAGATAAAACCCTTCTAAGTAGATTGGAACATTTGCAGCAGAGCACTTTGTCATGCTTAGGCTTAAGAGAGCAGGAATGTCAAGCCTGAATTAACCTTCAAAAAAGAAAATGACTGGGTTTGGGTTCATTTTAGCTTCAGAACCAGCTTGTCCCCCAGCTATTACCTGGCTGGGCTCTGCAAGCCTGGCCTTGAGCTGCTTCCTGGGCTGGCAGAGCGGAGGGAGGGAGCGGGCAGGAGCAGCCAGAGCTGCATGGCAGCTGTGCCAGCGCACGCTCAGCACCTGCAGGGCCCTGGCCCTGCCCAGATCGTGTTCCAAGGATCACAGGCACTGCACAACACCCACCTGGCTCCAAAGATGTCCTTCTTGGCCAGATCGATGCCAGAAACCACCTTCACCCTGAGGATTCGAGACTCCTCCTGCGACAGAAAAGAAACGGGTTTAATGTTTATTCTCTATGCCATTTGGCAGATCAGCAGCTGGCAAGAGGTTAGCAGATAGCAGGAGTCTGTCCTAGGGAGGATTTGGAAAAGAACCACCTCTTGGAAGGCTTATCTGAATGAGGAGTATTCGACTCCAGTCAGAGCTGTTAAGAGTTCAATAAAGGCAGAGCAGAAGTAGATAACAGTAATAACATCATAGCAATAATACTGTAACAATAATCGCAATAAAAGCAGAAGAGTATTTGCTGAACAAGGCCATTTCACATCCTGAGTGATCCATATACCACAAATTCATTCTGCATTGACACTGAAACTCTTCAAACACAAGGGAAATTATTCATAACATTTTAGTAATGAGAGATGTCTGCAGTGTAAAAATCGAGGATGCACAGTTAAAAATAAATACTTAAAATGAATTTTTTAAGCCTGTCTCACCACCTTGGTGTACGAGGAGAGCTCAAAATCAGCGTTCACTGACAGATGGCAAGTCCTGCAGATGCACATCACTGGAGCATCAGCCTGATGCTCAGCTTATCACTTCACTGCACGAAGCGCCTGAGGAACATCAGTAAAAATGGCCTTTTTCCACCTTGGTTTTTTTTCACTGCGTTTGAGCAACAGGAAGAGGCCACCAAAACGAAACCTGGAAAGCCTTCTACAGAAACAGGTTCTGCAGTCCCCCATATCAGTGATACCTTCTCTCCTCTGATAAGCCTCCCAGAGCTGCAAGATACTGGATTCAATTACAGTAACTTGAGACTCTGTTCCTTGAAGCCTGTTCAGAAAACAATTACACTTTCCCACAGGTTTCTCCTGGTCTGTTTGCTTTAGGCAGCTGATAGCCAGACACAGCTTTGTGTCAGCTGTCTTGGCACGGATTTTTCCAACTGTGAGGAAGGTCAGGACCAGCCCCAGAGTAAAGCCATACCCGGGCAGCCCAACTCGCCCCTCTGGAAGGAGGCACAGCCAGAGGATCAGAAAACAACAGTCCCATTGAACCTGTCTTCAGGGCAAGTTCCACCCTGGCACATGTCCTGCCTGAGGAGCTGGGCTGCAGCAAAACAACACTTGAGACACAAATCCTTGCTGTAAACCTGGCCTTTGGTATTCTCCCCAGCACTTAACACCACACAGTTACTTTCTAATTAGGGAACAGGATTTTTTCCCCAAAAGAGCCCAAAGCTTACCTGAGAGGTGACAAAACAGCATGAGAAAAAGAACAATCCAATGGACTCACAATAGTAGATATTTCCTAAGTACCATGTGCCCAGTTTTCTAGAGCAGTTTTAATATACAAAAGGCAATGAACTTGCAAATTGTGATCAAGATAATTCCTTCAATAAGAGAAGAGAGCATAGAATAAAACACAAGCAAAAACTCAGACTGTTCAGAGCTCACTGAAGTAGAACTACAGGGGAAGTTGCAATAGTTGTTTCTATCTGAGTGCTACTCAGATTCCCTCTAGCAAAGTCCAACATCAACTTTGCTAGAGTGGCATCTTCCTCCTCCTGAGGGCACCTCTGCATATTAACCAATTCAAAAGAAATCAAAGAAAAACACAAACAAACAATCCCCCCACCATCTTTGAAAGAGAAAAAAATGCAAGAGGAGGTCCCAGTGCTGGAGGATCCCCAATTGAGTTCTGCAAGATACAAAAGATAATGCTGTAGATGATCTAAACAGATGCTCAGAAACATACCTGAAGGGTCACATCCACTTTAAGGATCCCAGAACCTATGACCCTGTTCCCTCCTGCCAGAAGGCTCTCAGCCCCTACTCAATATTCCAATTTAACAAGCAGAACAAGTGCTTTTGCAAATGTTTGCTCCAATTTTCAATATGCATACACATTTATGTAATGTTTAAAAAAAAATTAAACCACCTCCTCAGTTAGTGATGAGGTCTACCATATGCATTAACTTTTGCTGACTCCTTGTATCTCAATTTCGCCCTTTATTTCCAAGTGTGCTGTGTCTAGGTAAAAAAGGAGTTAAATGATTACAGCAGCAGTGAGGTGATCTCACCTCATTGTCCACCAAAAATCAGATAAAGGATTGCTTGGCTGGGCACAGCCTGAGACTCACAGAGTACCAATTACCTGATGCAGGTTTCCACCCAGCCCTCTCTGAAAAGACTCCAAAAGAAAATTGGGATTTTGGTCGGTTTTTGTTATAAACCCAGGGCACCATGACAGGATCACTAACCACAGAAAAATTCTGTGTGAGAAGACCCAGGATTCAAACCCCAAATAATAAAGCAGAGAATGGGATAAGGAGACAGATCGGGAGGATTAAGAAGAAATGGGGATCTGACATGGCAGACAGCGAGGCTGAAGGATAACAAGAATATAGCTGGAGTCCTAATTTTCAAGTAAACAAACAAGAGCCAGCAAAGCAGGGTAACCAGGCTGATCAGAGACACGGCAGAGCTCTGCGGGACTCGAGGCAGGGAAGCAGGTACACACACGGCAGGAGCAAGGCTCCCTGGGGAGGAGCCACACGGAGGGAAATGAGGGCTTCCTCCAGCACCCGTGGCTGACCGACCACAGACACCCTGCTGCACTCTAAAAAAGCACTTGCTCAATTAGCCCAGCCATATCTTCAAAAGGAAAGAGATGCCAGAAGCAATGGTGCAACTGTGAGTGCCCTCAGCTGAACAGCTTCAGTCCCACATGAACTGACACTGCTGCACACACACACAGACTCACAGTCCAGACCACAACCCAATCCACACAAAAACTGCAGAGCACAATTTACTGCCAGTCAAGTACCCTGACTGAGACCTTCATCAGTGATCAATCACCTAACAAATTCTTAAAGAGCAATTTCTCAACACAAACTCCCATCTTCTGACCATCCAATATCCTTTGAGTCAGCAAGCAGTGGAGGCAACTGTACACTACAGGCCACAATCTTGGGATACTCCTTGACTTCTCCTGCACCCAAGAACCCAGCACCCACCCTCATCTGCTTATCATCCCACCCCATCCTTCCGTGAGCAGCCAAATTCTCCTCCTTGCAGCATCACAGAGATCAGGATGCAGGAAATGGCAACCTGGGAACAGTTAAGGGGAGACAAGTCTTCAGAAGCCACTTGCCATTTGAGTTGTCATTTGTCAAGGGAGAATCCTTGGTTCTGCCCAGAGTTGAAACTACACAGCAGAAAGGAATTCTCTGGGGATGAGACTAAACTATATTCACTTGTGCAGGAAGAGAACACCTGGCTGCAATTTTTGTGTTCCACTGAATTCCCTGTGTTCTGTAAAGCACATATCCTAAGCTGCTTTTTGAAGCACAGTTTGAAAGAGAAGTTCAGCTCACCCCACAGAGACATTTTTCTATCCATCCTATTTCAGCCTTGCCTGGAGCATACTGAGCCCGGAAGGGGCTCCAGGTGCTGCCTCTCCCTGCCCTGGGTGGCTCCTGCTTCCCCAGGCCAGGCTGTTCTCAGTGCAGCCCCAGAGCTGATGCTGCAGTTCCATTCCTGCCTCGCTCGGGTTTGGCCCCTACAGTGCAGAGCACAGGCAGGGATTCCAAGCAGGGCTGTCCTGAGCACTGTGACTCAATCCACTGGCTGCTGGGAACAGAGGCTGTGTGTGCAGGTGGGGATGGCGGTGGGGCTGGCAGCACTTTGGCAGCTCCCTGTAGACATTCCAGCAGCTGTCCCTGCCCACGCTCCTGTCCTGCCCCCAAACACGGCCTCCCCAGCTGCTGCAGCAGCCTGCCCTGAAGGGCCTGGTTACCTATTAGTTACTATTAGTGCTGAGCTCCGCTGCGCCGCACGTCCACACCAACTTCTGCTTTGTCCAATCATTAACATGAAGTTTACGTATTCCTGCCTTCCCAAAACATGCCAAAGGTTACAGAGTTCTCCTCTCTGCTGAAGGAGAACCTCTACACAGTTTGTGGTCTCTTAGCTGCAGTTCACAGTGCCATTTCAGAGGACTCAGCTTATTTAGGTGGAACCAAGCTGTGGAACTGGAAGCCTATTATAGATCAAAACCCAGACTTCATCAACAGTGAACAAACCTCAATTCACCTCAGAAAAGATGAAGGAAAACAGATGTATTTCCAGATTTAGTAGACCCTTGTACATATATTTATCTGTGTTATTCAGATTTTGTTAGTTCTTTGTTAAACACACACCACATTCACTTTCTCCAGTTGCTCTGGAAAGCCAAGTAATTTCTTAGACGCATTAAAGTACTGACATAAAGAAAACTTATTAAGTTCTCCCCTGGATTAGTGAAATACCCTGGAGCTGGGGAGTTTAGAGAAGAGCTGTGACAGCAGAGAGAAAGAATGAAGGCCAAACACAGCGTCCCGAGCTGCTTTCTCCCCTACAGGCAGAGTGAAATGCTGCCTGTTCAAAGGGTGATCCAGGAGACGCAGCTCAGCCAGCACCAGCTTCACCGACATAGAAGTGCTGTAAAACCAACCTGAAAGAGCTTTGCAATACACATCTGTATGTTCTGAATGCACAGAAAAGAAAGCCACAGCAATCCAGCCTGGCGTAAGAAGGAAAGCTGCAGATGTCAACTTCCAACAGGACAAACAATCCCATGACACATGTAGCGTACGCATTAAGAGAACAGCCTGAAAATAACAATCGATGGGGGTATAAAATTAGAAGGTTGACTCGTTTAAATGAACAGACAAGTGTGAAAGGCACAACGGCTGGATCAATGCAAGCCAATATTTGAACAGCTGTCACGCAGACCAGGAAGATTAAACATTTAACGTGTTTTTCCAAGGTATATAAACGCGTCTCCGAGTCAAACAGCCCGAGGCGGGCAGGTTTGTGCCCCTCCGTTCTGAGCCGCCCAGCCCGTGAGCCCAGCCCGGCTGTGCCCCCGCAGCCACAGCACAGGGGCACCGAGAGCTGCACTTACCGCCGACCCCGCGCCAGGAGCCCCGCCAGGCACCGCCGCTCGCCCGCCGCCTCCGCCCGCACACGCGGAAGTTCAGCGACGGCGG